AGCAGCAGCAGCAGCAGCAGCAGCAGGAGCAGCAGCAGCAGCAGCAGCANTTTTTTTTTCTTTTTCTTTTTCTTTTTTATATAAACAAACAGAGATAAACTGCTGCTGCAGCGCTGCCCCTCACCAGGTGTATGTACACCTCCTGCTATGCAAGGCTTAGCAGCAGCACAGCAGCACGGCCCACGTGCGTTGCTGTTGCTGCTGCTGCTGCTGCTGCTGCTGCTGCTGCTGCTGCTGCTGGTGCTCTAGCTGTTGCTGTTGCTGTTGCTGTTGGCCTTGTTGCTGCTGCTTCTTTGTTTCTTAGTTGTCTTCTGCTGCCTCCCCTGCTGCTGCTGCTGTGCTGCAGCTGTTCCCTGTCTTTGCTGCTGCTGCTGCGCTGCAGCAGCAGCAATAAACAGAGAGAGACACAGAAGGACCGTTGCTGCTGCTGGCAGCAGTTTAATATATATTTGCTGCTGCTTGCTGCTGCTTGCTGCTGCTTGCTGCTACTTCTTGCTGCTGCATTGCTGCTGCTTGTTGCTGCTAAAAGGAGACAGACAAAAGAGACAAAAAAAAAAAACAAAAGACAGAGAGAGCGGGGAGACACACGAGGAGCAGAGAAGAGACAAAGGAGAGACAAAAAAGGAGACAGACAGAAACTGTCTCCTCCTGCAACAGTCTCCTTTTGTCTTTGTCTCTTTCTGTCTCTGTCTTTGTCTCCTTTTCTTTGTGTGTCTTTCTCTCTCTCTTTCTCTCTGTCTCCGTTTCTCTCTTTCTTTCTTTATCTGTCTCTCTCTGTCTCTCTCTATCTTTCTGTCTCTCTTCTCTCCTGCTTCTGTCTCCTTTTTTTTCTGTCTCTGTCTTTCTGTGTCTCCTTCTGTCTCTGTCTCCTCTCTGCCTCTCCGTCCGTCTCTGTCTCCTTCTGCCTCTCTGTCTCTACCCCCTGCGTCTCTTTGTCTCTTTCTGTCTCTTTGTCTCTTTCTGTCTCTCTGTCTCTTTCTGTCTCTCCCTGTCTCTATCTGTCTCTTTCTGTCTCTCTGTCTCTCTCCGTGTCTTTCTGTCTCTTTCTGTCTCTCCGTCTCTCTCTGTCTCTTTCTGTCTCTCTGTCTCTTTCTGTCTCTTTCTGTCTCTCTGTCTCTCCCTGTCTCTCTCTGTCTCTTTCTGTCTCTTTCTGTATGTCTGTGTCTGTGTCTGTCTCTTTCTGTCTCCGACTCTGTCTCTCTCTGTCTCCGTCTCTGTCTCCTTCTGTCTCTCCCCGTCTCCGTCTCTCTCCCCCTGTCTCTCTGTCTCCGTCTCTGTCTCTTTCTGTCCCTTTCTGTCTCTTTCTGTCTCTTTCTGTCTCTGTCTCCGTCTCTTTCTGTCTCTTTCTGTCTCCTCTGTCTCTGTCTCTGTCTCCTTCTCTGTCTCTTTCTTTCTCTCTCTGTCTCTGTCTCCCTCTTTCTCTCTCTGTCTCTGTCTGTCTCTGTCTCTGTCTCCGTCTCTGTGTCTCTTTCTGTCTCTTTGCGTTATCTTCGGGAGACAGAGACGGAGACAGAGGGAGACAGACACACCAGGCGGAAGGAGACAGAAAGAAAAGGAGACAGAGACAGAGAGAAAGGGAGACAGAAATAAAGAGACAGAGACAGAAAGAAAAGGAGACAGAAACAGAGAGAAAAGGAGACAGAAACAGAAAGAGAAGGAGACAGGCAGAGACACAGACAAGGAGACACAGAGACGCACAGAGACAGAGAAAGACAAGGAGAGGTAAACACATATACAGAGACAGACGGAGACAAACAAAAACAGAGACAGAAAGAGAAAAAGAAATAGAGACAGAAAGCGAAAAAGAAACAGAGACAGAAAGAGAAAAAAAAACAGAGACAGAAAGAGGAGACAGAAACGGAGACACAAAAGGAGACAGCTGGGGGAGACACCCCACACTCCCCTCAGCTTAGATGCATTTTGCATTTGTTAGTAGCAGCAGCAGCACGAGGAAACAGCAGCAGCAGCAGCAGCAGCAGCAGACACAGCGGCGAGCAACGCAGCAGCAGCAGCAGCTGCTGCTGCTGCTGCAGCAACAGCAGCAAACCGTGCAGCGACAGCCCAACAAGCAGCAGAAGCAGCAGGACCAGCACCGCTAGAGATAACAGCAGCAGCAGCAACAATAGCAGCAGCAGCAGCAGCAGCAGCAGCAACAGTAGCATCAGCAGCAGCAGAGTGAGCATTGGCTGCAGCACGTTGTTTCTTAATGCCTAGCAAGCTGTCACTAACAACGCTGTGTCCTGTTGCTGCTATTGCTGCTATTGCTATTGCTGCTGCTGCTGCTGCTGCTGCTGCTGTTGCTGTTGCTGCTATCGTTGCTGCTGTTGCTGCTATTGTTGCTGCTGCTGCTGCTACTGTTGCTGCTGTCTGCAGCAAAGCAGAATATTAATCAACAAACGAAAATTAGGGTTTTGCGCTGAGGGTTAGGGTTTAGGGTTTCAGTCGTTGCTGCAGTAGCCTCTGCTAGCGCAGCAGCAGCAGCAGCAACAGCAGCAGCAGC